TGATTAAACTGCATCTCAAGGGGCTGGAGATTTAGCTCAGCGGCATAAGCGCCTGCCTTGCAAGCAGGCAGTCGTGAGTTCGATCCCTGGTACCGATAAAAAGGAAAAAGACAAAAAACAAACAAACAAACAAACAAAAAAACTGCCTCTCAAGAGAAAAAAATGGCGGCTTGCTAGGAGGCTGGGTGCAGAGTCTCTGCAGAGAAATCAGATCAGATGCTAGAATATGACAAAATGGAGAGGGCCAGAAATTGGATAATGATTCTTATTAACCAAGGAAGTAACCAAAAGGAAAAGTAAAACTAAGAAAAGGAAGAAAAAATGCAGGAGCTGAAACCTGACACCCTCACTGAGATCCATTCCGTGCTGTACTACACGCACCCAGAGGATCCAAAGTCGTGCTGAGACCACAGCTGCTGATAATGGGAGTTGGCAAATCCTGGGTCCTTAATGGGAGGATGTGGTGCAGTGAGCAGTGGATCCAAGGGAAAGAGCTATATTGGCTTTCAGCAACTGATGTAAATTGGGACCTGAGGCCCCATGAAGCAGCCAGAGTCACCTGGCCGCACCAGAGGAGACTGCATGAAGCTCCTGAGCTCAGAAGCTGGACACTGTGAAGTTTTCTGACTGATCCATGCTGTGCTGGGAATGCAGTGAAGACACGGGGTGCAGTGTGCAGTGAACCCAAGAGGAAGATCTGCATTAAGTCCCAGTGAGTACTAGGGATTGGGTGCCGCACCTGCTGTCGCTGGCTGGAGGACATCTTGGAATTGGGCAGAGCCTGGCACCATGGCTGTCAGTGACACATAGAGGACTGGTGGAGGACATCTTGGAGTTGGGCAGAGCCTGGTGCCGCAGTGACATCAGATACTCACTGCTGGCACAGAGAAGTCTGGGGAAGACAGCTTGGATTTGGGCAGAAGCCTGCACCACGGTGACATCAGTCAGCTGCCCCTGGCGCAGAGAGAACTGGCAGGGTCTGCTGGGGCTGAACTACTACTCTGGTTGGGATCTAATAAGCAGATACAAAATTGTCAAGACTCTGTGACATCCACAAGGTACAGCCTAACTTGCAGATTGACTGGCACAGAGGCTGGAGGCTAGTCTGCACTGTCCCTGCATCCCTGACTGTATCTCAGATAACAGCAAATTGGGGAGGGCAGCAAAAACTCCAGTCATCATGCTTTGGAAATTCCCTAAGCAATATAGAGAGGGCCAGAGACCCCCCAGGACACACCAGTCTGAAAGAAACCAGAAACATGACAAGAGATAGAAATAAAAAAAATCTCCAGCTGCCAAACCTGGGAAAATAAGCCCAGGAGAAGTAAATACAGAAGAGAACCAGTGCGGTAACCATCCAGTACTAGACACAGCATCAGCAGACATAAAGAAATACCTTCATGACCTCATAGACGAATTTAAAACTGTGAGGCAAGATATAAAGAGATTAATTAAAGAAATGATAAGCCCCTCCCAAGAGAACACAGATGGAAGAACGGAGGAAATCAGAAAAGAAAGAGAAACCTCTGATGAAGAATTTAAACATAACCTAGAATACATGAAACAGATCCAAAGAGATTACCAGGAAACTAAAAAATCCATTGAAAACTGGCAAATGCCTTGACAGAAACAAAAGTTAGCCTTTTGAAACTTGAAGAGAGATTTATGATATATGATTGCAAAAGAAAAGACCTCTTAAAAATAACCAGGAACCAGAAAGAAACAATTCAAAAGCTATAAGACGACAAAAGGATACATAACTTGAGAATAAAGCACATGAGCAAGGAAACAGGAGTAAACCAAAAATGAACTACAAAGAATATTCACAGATATACTAAAGGAAAACTTCCAAAGCCTAGGAAAAAGAAGTGATATCCAGATAAATGAGGCATACAGAACTCCAGCCACCTACAACCAAAACAAATCTACACCTAGACATATAATAATCAAGATTCCAGAAATCCACCAAAAGAACAGAATACTAAAAGCAGCCAGGGAAAAGAAGCAGATTACCTACAACAAAAAAATTATCAAAATAACAACAGATTTATCAACACAAACTCTCAAATTGAGAAGAGCCTGGGGAGAAATTTCCAAGCCCTAAAAGAAAATAATTTGCAACCAAGACTGATATACCCAGAAAAACTCTCTCTCAAAATTAATGGAGAAATAAGATGTTTCCAAGACAAGGAGGAACTGTGGGAGTTCATGGCCACCAACCCAACCCTACAGAGAGTGCTGAAGGACATTCCAGAGAGAGAGAGAGAGGATACCAGGATTCCAGCAACAGTAGAAGAGAGGCCTCAATGAATGGGGCAGACAGTGGAATGAGGGAGTAAGGTGGACAAATTATAGCAGTAAAGTGGAGTAACAGACATGAGGCAGAGATGGTAAGCTATAATCTTTAATATAGATAGCCTTGATATACTAAAATAAAAAAACAGGCAGAGTAGATTAGGATACAGGCTCCATCAAGATGCTCTGAATGGGAAATACAGTCAACCCAAAGGAGGGTTAATAAACTGAAAGTCAAAGATGAGAAAGCAAAGCTATATGTGACAGGAAACCAGAGAGAAATAGGGACAACTCATCCAGCAGCTGCAGATAGACTGGGAAGCTATGACACTTTTGGGCAGTGTAGAACTACACAGCTGGAAGGAAGGAAAACCCTATGACTTTAGTGAGTAAAGAAGTATAGCTCAAGATCAAGCTCAGGGGTAGAAATGTTCAGCAACACCCAGATAGATAACGGGCTGGCCCCTAATCTAAAAATTAAAGGGGCTAGTGAGACCCAAAACATACAAAGCATCCTGAAAAGGGGAAAGGTGAAAAATAGCCTAAAAATGGAGGGCAGAGGTCACTGTTAATAGTGTATCAGGATTTAAAAGTCACAGTAGTCTTATCGCTCTGTTTAGTTTGAATTTATTTTGTTCCAGTCTGTCCACTCGTATCAGATTTGAGGGCACAGACATCTAACCCGAAAATAGCAGGTTATACCATGGTAACTATCCTTAATTTCCTATTAAACTGAAACCCTGTATTACTTACATTGCCTTACTATGACTGATCTTATTTGAATCTGATTTGTTAGAGCATGGTTTTGCCTTGGCTGATTTTATCCGAATTTGGTATGCTTGATAGTATCAAGTCTAAAAGTAGAGGCAGAGTAGTTACTCTGAAGGTGACAAGATATAAAAGATATCCATACTGGTTTTGATTATTAACTGCTTTCAAGGCCTATAATGTATTCAAAGTTGTGTTTTTATAAAAATAGCTATGTAATACTATGCTTAAATATATTAAGCCTGATGATGTGGACAAGTTTATTGAAAATAACAAGAGAAAGCATAGTAACTACAGTAGATCACCTAATATTGTGGTCTTATGTGTCTTTTTATTGCACATTTTTCTAGGAATTTGTTTTGCTATCTTGTTATGATTTGTTTTTCCCTATAATACAGAGAGGATAGATATACATGTAGAAATTCACACATGGGAAGAATTTTTTAAACTATTTATGGGAACAGATTATATAATGGAAGATATAATGAACAGATGCTCCAAAGAAGTAGAGACATTAAGAGACCCAATGCTAATTCTGTAGCATTATGATATAAAATCTAGTAATACTATTATTCACTGTTCAGAATGATATTAGTCTAGCCTCTTAAGTTTAATTTCAGCATATGTAAAGATAAGGACAGCTACTACGAAGAGAATGAGAATGACTATTGTAGTCATTAGTGTCTTCCCCAATGTCAGATCTTAAAGACCTAAAAAACCTTCATTGTCCTGTAATGATTTGATTAGTTCTATAATATGCAGTATGTATTCAATGTGTGCAAAGATGGGGACAACTATTTGGAAGAAAACTAGAGACAATAAGATGGACAGTAAAGATCTCCAGTGGACTTGCTTTGAAATCTGTATTTCTTTAAATTGTTTTTTTTTAAACTGTTTTGTTCTGTTTTGATATGTTTAATCTTACCCTCTTTAAGATAAAAAACAAGTGTGTAGGACTGATAACCATATTACTAAGTTTTTGTTGGATCACTGAGCAGAACTGTTGGCAGTGTCACTATTTGAATGTCCCTTTACATTCTTTAATTTTGTAACCTGAACAACTATTTCTAAGATGACAATATGTAACTTATCAACTGGTGATTTCTTACTGTTTATTTTTCTGTAATTCTGTATTATTTCTACCCTTTTTTCTCCACTTTTTTGGTTTCTTTCTCTTTAAATAAAAAAACAATAAATAAATAAAAGAAAATGAAATCATGCAATGTGCTAGAGAGTCATTGCGGGTGTAGAGATGTTAAAATGATCCGAAGAGGAAGGTTTTCTCAGGAGCTGAAATCTGAATGACAAAGAGGATTCTGAGCAAGAATACGCCAGGCAGAGGGAATGAATGGGCTGCACTGGAATAGAGACTGACTGCAGTACTCTGCCTTTGCAGAACAGCAGGGAGGAAGGCAAGCAAATTGCTCTCCAACTAAGTAGGATAAGGAATGTTTCAATCATTTCAGTCACAGACCAACATGTGATTCAGATGTAGATGACCAGCTTGCAGCTTGTGCCACATGATAATGATACTATGATCATGTACTCTCATGTGTGTGGCAATGTCAAATTGTCAGGGAAGTTTCTAAGGGCTGGCTCTCACTGCTGTCCCACTCTGCTTGTCTTGATGCAGGGCAGGGGCACACCATTCTCAGACCCTCAACACTTTGGGTAGTGCATCCAAATAAAATCTTGGAGTTTGCTCTAAGTGAATTGGAAAAGTGCATACAGGGAAGGGAGACAAAGAAGAATCAAAGACTGATGGATTTTGGTGGTGCTCTGTACCAAGAAGAGGTCATGCTGGAGCAACAAGAAGAGAGAGTGAAAGTCCTGCTTTGAGTATGGTAAGTGAGAGATGTTTGTGCTCCCGAGGGGAGAGGTCAAGGAGAGGGTTGTATACAGGAGTCTAGGACTTGCAACTGAACTCAGAGTCAGAAATGTGAATTTGAGGAGTCACGAAAGCTTGCATTTATTGCCTCAGATGAGGTTAGTAATCTGGCATGTCCGAGGTGTGATAAAATAGGACATTTAAATTAAAAATAAGCATTGCAGTGAAAAAACAAATTGCCATTAATTCCCTCCAAAACAGTCTCACTAGCTTTGAACAGTTATCCTGCAATTCTTGCCACGTTCTGAAAGTTCTGAAACTTTCTGAGTTCTGGAAGTTTTCTTTTGTGTGTGTGTGTGTCTCAGCTGTGCTTATCATGGATGCTTTGACGACCTACATTGTTTCAAAACATTTACCTTTCACAGTCATTTTGAATTTGAGTGAACATTGGGAAGTCATACAATGCCAGATCCAGTGAATAAGAGGGATGAAGACACACCACAGTGTTTTTAGGACTCTTCTGTTGGACTGCTCTTGGTAGTAGCATTCACTACCTTTTTTTTTTTTTTTTTTTAATCAAACTTCATGGAGACACAAAAGTGGGCTTCCAGAACTGCCTCAGAAAGTGGCGAGAAGGATGGGATAAGTGTATTCAAAGTGAGGGGGAGAGTTTTGAGGGGTGTTAAAGGCAATGTGCTTTACTATAATAAATTTTTAAAATTTTAAGCATTCATTGTATTTTTCAATCATCTCTTGTATCTTAATGAGAGAAGAGATCCCAGGACCTAGACCTGTGAGGACTCTGATGTGAGAGTTGACTTCTCAGTCTCAGAAGCTAAGAAATTTGATTCTAACATTTTCAGCACTCCAAAGTTTCACAAAATGTAGGACAAAAGCTCAATACCTCACAGTGCTGCATGAAGTGGTACAGTATAGTCAACAAGGATTGTACACAGGGATTGAATGAACAAGATTCCAAATGCCCTTCAAACTTTGAGTTTTTAAAATTCTAGTATTATTCAAATTTCTTTCAATCCATGGTATTTTGGTTTGAATGATGCCCCCTCAATGGATATCCCCATGCCCCAGAATCTGTAACATTGACCTTATTTGAAAAAAAAAAAAAAGAGTCTCCTTTGCATATGTAACTGATGGAGGGGTCTTGAGGTGAGATCTTCCTGGATTATCCAAGTGGGCGTGAGCCCTTGATGAGTGTCCTCAATGGAGACACAGATGGGAGAGGTGAATGCCCTGTGACCATGGCAGAGATTAGAGTGCTACAGACTCAAGCCAAGGAAGCCAAGGAACGCAGCTCACAGCCACCCGAAGCTGGAAGAAACAAGGATTCTCATATGAGCGCAGTCTTGTTGATGAACACCAGCCTTTGCTAACAGCTTGAATTCAGACTCCTGGCCTCCAGAACTGCTAGGCAATCAGCTGCTGTTGTTTTAAACAGCCCTGTTTATGAAAGTTTGTCCCCACAGCCCAAGCAGCCTGAGGAGACTAAAGCACATGGTATCTTAGCAGATGCTGTAGCAGGGTTTCTTGTGGAGCTCAGCTTTATGCTTGTTCAGTGGTTGGCACCTCCGGCTAACAGTGGGATCACCTAGAGAGGTTTTTGGAATGCAGATGCCTGTGCTGCACCTGGAAAGATTCTGATTCATCAGGTTTGGGGTACAAATGGGCTTTAGTATAGAGCCGGGGTGAGAACTGCCACTGGATTAATCACTATTTAATATCATGGGGATGTTACAGAGGAATAGCCATGTACTTTTATTTTTCTTTTTAACCTTGGGAATTTACTTTGAAGTTTAATAGTCGGTATGTTTAAGTCTACAAAATATTCTTAGAAACTGGGTGACGCCCTTTCACGTCAGCTTTTCCTATGCAGCCTGTGGCACCCAGACAGCTCTGTTTCTACCTGAAAGAATAAATGGAAGCTGTGACAGTGGACACATCTTTGCACCCCCTTACGGCCCCTAGAAGTGCCAGGGATGCTTTGCAACAACATCTAATTTTAACAGAAATCACACGATTCTCGTACAAGCCCTCACTCTAAATTGTCTTCCCATTTTTCTTACAATCAGATGACAATTGTGAAGTTTTGGTGGCATGCTACTTCATATACATTTAAAAAAATCTGCTTCAGAGTGACATGCTGAACAGGAGAAGAATGAGTTATTATTTAGAGGTAGAGAGCTCCTAATTGTAGAACAAAGCAGCTCCCTGTTCAGCATCCCTAAATAAATAACGCAGTTTTGAAGCTGTGTGATCTCCTACTGTGTCTTTCTTGCGTGTCCGGGAGCAGTCATGAGGCACTATGTGTGCTTGTCTGTGAAAGGCTTTTTGAGGAAGAGCTCATGGCCATGATGACTCCCCAGGAAGTCTGAGGTCACACACTTGGCTGGAGCACATGAGCCCAATAAAAAGGATGGTTTTGCCCCCCTGAAATAATGCCAGCAACTTTATCTCCTTCATTGTGCACTTTGGTCATGCGCTAACAATGTGGATTTCTCTAGTGCTAATCCCCCTAATGATGGCTTCTCCCAGCCCTTCCACAAACCCCACCAGGTCCCGTGGCTTGGCAGCCCTGACGGAATAAAAGCAATGCAGTTTGGCTTTTGAACTGAGTTCAAGGCAATTAAAGTCAAGGACTAAGGAGGAGAGCAGGAGGTTTAGAAATACCAGCATAATAAGCAGTGTGACTGGGGCGCTCTGTAAATTAGTTAGACAAAGCTTGATTTAACAGGGGAAGACAGTGAGAAGCGCCACCCTCATTAAATTTGGCTGTTAGAGGCGCTTCTAATGAAATTAAATTTGTGTTAGTTGTTTGAATCATAAAATAGAGTGTGCATGTGCATGTACACACCTGTGCACAAGTGGGTTCTGTGATTTTTGTGGGTATTTTTTTAAGACGAGAGGAAAAGAATGCAAAAAAAAGTAAGTCCGAAAAAAAGGATTTGAATGAATGAGTGCTTAAGAAATCAAGAGAGGTCCACAAGGAGGAGGGTGAGACAGAATCAAGGAGCGGAAAGCGCAATCCTCCCAGTTACACCGCCATGCGTCCCCGGCCGTGGGGTCTTCTGTTCAGCTGCCTGGGCCTTGGGATCTGGCCAGGAGTCTGGGCTCAATTTCCACGGGTCTGCATGACCTTAGAAAGCCTGAGGAGCAAGGAGTGCTGCCCGCCCCTGGGTGAGGAGCCCAGCAATGTCTGTGGCTCCCAGGATGGCCGGGGACAGTGCTTAGAGGTGCGAGCAGACACCCGGCCCTGGAGTGGCCCTTACGTCCTGCGAAACCGGGATGATCGTGAGGAGTGGCCAAGGAAGTTCTTCAAAAGGACCTGCAGGTGCACAGGTGAGGCCCCAGGGGCAGGTGTGGCCCAACTTCTGAGCCCGGTGAAGAGGGAGGCTGGGGCTGTGGGAGAAGGGGATGGGGCCCGTTGACAGAGGCAGGGAAAGGCAAGGCAGCTGTCTTTGGTAGCCAAACGGCTGATGTCTGGCTTGTGTCCTTCGCATCCTTTAGTCCATCTGGGTGTCATAGCTACCTAATAAATAGTGCACAGGCCGAGCCTGTTTTTATGAACTTGTGCCAACATACCTTTGGGCTTGTTTGTTGGAAGAGGAGGCTGTGGAGCTGGGGAGTCAACTTTGAAATCCAGAACAAGTCCCTTCAGGGTGGAACGGCCTCCTCCGCAGATGTGTGGGCGCTTGCTGCAGGGGGCGGTGTGGTTTTCACTGGGGGGCAGAAGCCGCAGGCAGCTGCTGCGCTCTGCAGCCTGACCTCAGCACTTCCCAAGGTTGGAGAACATCTCAAGCAGAGTCCATCTTTCTCATTAAAGCTATGACTGGGCTGTGGGGTTGGCAAAGCTGGGGAGCAAGGCCAGGTGGCTTGCTTGGGGCAGGATGGGGGGAGGGGATAGGGTTATTAGTGGGTAGTAATAGCTTTCTTTTATTCTTGTCTGCATCTAAACTGGGCATTTCCAAATTTGCACTCTGGTCTCTTGTACTACCTGCTTCTTTGAAACCCCTGCAGTTCTTTCCCTCGGGTTCTCCTGGGACTTCCTTAGGACTCCTCACCCCTCTCTGTCCTGTTTCTTACAGCCAGGCACACTCATGATAAAGGCTTCCAGGCCAGTGTGACATTTGAAACCCACAAACATAAGCAGCAGCTTCAGCAGAGGCCCTGGATGCAGCTCTATGGTGGCTGGCTGCGTGATACTTTTGCAAACTATTTCTCTCTTCTATTTTTCCGTGTGTCCTGAACATAGGAGAATATAGAAAACTGAGCTATGTGAGCTGCGTGTGAAAAGTTGTTTCTAAGGCAAGGTACCAAGGTCTGTGGTGCTGATGTAGAAATGACACCAGAGCCCGACGTGAGGCTGTCTGCCTGTAACCCTAACACCTGGAGGCTGAGGCGTGAGGATCCCCTTAAATTCCAGGCCAGCCTGGGGGTACACAGTGGGCTCAAGACCAGCTGGCACTACAGAATGAGACCCTGTCGGAAAAGGAGAGAAAGAAAGAAAAGAAATGACATTAGATTTTTTAAATTCTCAAAAGTTCTGGCTTTATGATTAATTAGGGATGGAAACCAGGGCCTTGAACCCATGAAGAAAATGCTCTAACAATAATCTACACCCCTAGATCTTGTAATTGTAATTTTATTTATTTATTTATTCTTTTGCAAATGTAATAATGTGAGTCAAAAAAAATTTTAGGTCCTAGTTTTCCCTGGATACTAATTGTGACAAAATTTTAAAAGCATATTGAATATACTATTTACCTACTTCTTCTGAGCAATTGAGCATTTGCTTCTATTAGACATTGTCTCATAAATTCTCCAAAGTTTTTATTCTAACCGGGGGCGCTTGGTATCGTAATACCCATGTGACCGGTTGCTACCCACACATAGAAGCTCTTTGTGTCCCCAACCCTCAAATACTTCTTTTGCACTTACTTCCCTGTCCAGGGTAACAAAGCCACAACTCTCAAAACTTGGGAATCTTCACTCATAGAATTCTGCAGAAGAAGATTTTAATGCTTCAGATATAGTTTTCAGTGCTTCTTTTCAACATCTCCTTCTAAGTTTGACCTGGTTAGCTGCTTTATTTTTAAAAGGTAGAGATGGAAAGAATAGGAAGCGGAAGAGTAAAGGGGCGATGTCTATTTCTCTTTGCCGAGGGGATGTTTGTAAGTACACCTCCAGAAGGCCCAAGACCTGAGGGTCACAGCGCCCTACTGTGAGAATCAAAAGGGATTCCATGCTTCGAAAGGCAGCAAGCCAGAACAGGGCCTGTCCCAAAAGTGCAGGCCATGCCCTGGCTGTAGTCCACCCCACAGAAGCAGGGCTTCCACAAGGCTCTAGGTCTCATCTCCAGCCAGTATCAGGCCTTGACTGTCCCCACCTTCCCCTCCTCAGGCTGTAAGCTCACCTCCTCTCCCTGATTTGTTCAGTCAGAAACTCAGAACCACCACTCTTCCACACCACCTTTGTGGTTTTATTTTTTTAGAAGTAACTTACGATTTGTTGCACCTATAAATTTCATTTACTAGGCTTTTCCTGTTTCCAAGCTTATTAAAGCATAACTAGTATACCAAACACTACGCATGATTAATATATACAATCCAGTGAGGTTGAACATACGTGCTATTGTTACTGTGACTACCTCAAAGTAATAAACACCCCCTCACCTCCAAATGTTTCCCTGTGTTTCTCGGCTTTTTGCTGTTGTAAGAACCCTAACGTGAGCTTGGCACTGCTAGCATATTTTTTAGGAGTATAATAAGTTACCGTTAATGATAGGCAGGTGTCTCACAGCACATCTTGGGAGCTTCTTCATCTTTGTCACTGCAGGTTGACCCTCACTGAGAAGCAGCTCCCCATCGCCCCCTCTCCTCCTTCGCCCTGGTAACTGCAATGAATTCTACTGTCCACTTCTCCACATTCCACTATTTTGAATGCCTCAGTTAGGATCACAGGGTCTTCGTCCTTCTGTGACTGATTGATTTCTCTTAGCACAATGTGTTGCAGGTTCATCCATGTTGCTGCAATGGTAAAAATATCCTTCTCCCTTTTTTTTCTCCTCCCTTTTTTTCTCCTCCCCCTCTTCCTTCTCCTCCTCCTCCTCCTTTTTCTCTTCCTACTCCTTCTATTCTTCCTCCTCCTTCTCCTCCCTTTTCTTCTTTAAGACAGGGTTTCACTATGCATCCCAGTATGTTGTGAACTTATCCCCCTGCCTTAGTCTCCTGCATGCTAATATTATAGGTGTGTGTCACCATGCCTGGTTTCCTGTTTTGCTTTGTTTTGTTTTGTTTTAAGGCCGAACATTCCATTTCGTTTCCATACCGACTTTGGATGACTCTGCTTATGTTGGCTAGATGGTCTTTGGGTATTGGTGCACCAGGCTAAGCCCTTGGAGGCTGAGCTGGGCAGGTGCAGCGCATGTATGACCACCACCCCGTGGTGTGTGAAACAAGACAGGCCCTTCATTTATTTTCTCCTGCAAAGAGCGAGCTACTTGCCTTCCTAGAGTAGCTTTTTATTGGTTTGCAAGTAGTTGTTCAAATTTAAACTTGATCTTGAGCCTCCCTAAAACCCTATCCTCTGGTAGGTACCCTTATACTTCTGCAACTGGAGGCCCTGGAGCTCCTCTAAGTTTACCTGAAACTTAAGGAAGAGATGCAGTGTAGTTCTGGGAAGCAGACTATTAATGATCCTAAGCTTTGTTAATTCATTGGGCAAATAAATACCCTACACTTCCTGCAATCATGAATTTGGTTAAAAAGGGTTTTTTTTTTAATCAAATAAATAAATTAATTAATACATTAAAAGAAAACAGGCAATGGAATTAAAAATAGACCATCCTTAAATTGTATGCTCCATTTCTCTGTGGACAATTTCTCTATTCCCTGTAGGGATAAATTGAAACACAAAGAAATAAATGGTTTAGCTTAACTGTCAGGAGAAGCTAAGTTTCAAGAGACTTTGGCACCAGCCAGCACTTTATAAGGATTACTTGCCAGTTGGCATTTATAAGATTATGCTTGGCATAACTGTGTCTTTGGGCTTTTGAAAACCTGGGCACCACCAAACAGTTTTTGAACAGTTGGCTGAGAGCTTCTTGTTTGTACAAGTGACTAAGTGCCTCCATTTTCCAATCTCTAAAATGGGGATAATGATGAAACCATACTTGTAAAATCTTTTTGAGCTCTGTAGATGAAAGGGCCTGTGTAAGTATAAAGCATTGTTATTAAAATAATAGAATCTCTAATTAAAAGGAATAAGCTATTTAGAGTTCCTTGTAAATTCACTAATCGGTGGTCGTTAAGCTTATTTAGTCTAATGGCTTTTTGAGGCTGACCTGCTGCAGCACATGTAGAAACGTGTAGTGCTCAGATGTTCTCGCTGTCTTTGTCCCTGCCCTAGGTAGGGAGAGGGTTTGGCTCTTTAAATTTAACTTTTGCTGCAGGCCATGCACAGTGGTAGATAGACTGGCATCTGTTTTTCTGTCTCTGTTGTGCAGCAAAATAACAATCCTTTCTAAACTTCCCAACTATATATATATAACTACTAATAGATTCAGGGAAATAAAACTCATGTTAAATTGATGTAAGATACTACCAGGAAGTCTAAATTAAAGAAATGAGCATTTTCTGTGATAGGTTTTGTGGTTGCTATGCTTTTCACTTGTTTTCTGACATTTTGACAGATTGTATAGCAGGCCAGGTCTATGAGCCCAAAAACAAATTTCCCGGCTGCAAGATTGTTTGTGGTGTATTTCCTCTGAGACCTGTTGGAAAAGGAATTCTTTTAACTGAATGAATTTCCGGGTCACAGATGAGCTGAAATCCTGGTGAATTCTTTCTGCTTTCTTGTCGGTACTCACACACTGTGTTTCAGAGCCAACTCTGTTTCCCCTGAAGCTCCTGGTTCACCCTATAGTAGATGCAAAGCATCTCAGATCCCGAGCCAGGATTCACTGTTTTGCCCTTTGTTATCCCATGGAGCTTGGTTTACCTCCGTTTTCACTTTTCCCACAGTCAGACTTGTGCTGCTATTTCGTCATGCATACGATCTTCATTTCCACCAGACTGTGCCTCACTGTGCCTTAATGCTTAATGCCTTTAATTCAACTTTTAATTTATTGTTTCATCAGCCGACGTTTCCGTGGCACTAATTTACATTAGGCCTTTCTTGCACAGAGAGAAGGAAAATGACATGACTTTTTGGTGTGTGCAGTATAAAGACAGATACGAAAACCAATTGTCACTGTCCTATTTGATGAGTAGAACCTGGTCATGCTAGCACTGGCACACTTACTATATATAGTACTTACTCTGCACCGGGCAGTATTCTGTGTGCTCCGTATGAAAGCGTTTGCTTTTCCTAGGAATGCTACGAAACAGAACTCTTAAACAGGCTCTGAAGGGTCAGACCCAAGGTCCCAGGGATGGCAGCTTGTCTGGACGTATAAAAAGCTATGAGAGCACAGAAGGCATGCTGAGATTTGTTTCTAAAAAGACAATAGTTTTCTATGTAGAAAATCGAATAAAATGCAGTCCGAAGTGCAGAGACTCCTCCATGTGCCTCCCCATTTTCCCTATCGAGGCGCATCCTCTTTTGACTGTCTTTGGGTAGGTGTTTAAATGAGTGAGAGAAGCAATCAGTTATTGATAATTTTGTTTTTTCCAGCCAAAAAGAATCATGATAACGACACCCCTCTGGTGTGAGAAGCTGAAAATGCCACAACATATAACAGATACTGAGAAATAGGAAGTTATTGTTTAAAGAGAAATGGGAAGGGGGGGGGGGTTGGGGAGAGAGAAGACAAAAATGAGAGGAAAAAAGGCAAACTGAAAACAAAACTTTGTAAATAAGGAAGAGGAGAGGGTTGAAGGGAGGGGAGGGGAGTGGGATAAAAGGAGGACCTGAGATATGTCATGGGCGGGTACAAATTCCCCATGATGAGTGTGATCGTTATCCTATCTAAATTGTACCAATAAGCTTGATTGTTAAAAAAAAAAATCCATGGCATGAGTGTGGAATTTTTTAAGTTTTCACAATGAGATCCCAAAATTCAGAAACAAAATTTAGGTCTTTAAATATCAGAATATATTGAGTTTGGTGTTATAAAATGTAGCTGTGTTTTTTCTTGGCATTTTATAGCATCTTGGCTTAGATTCACAGCAGAATTGAGCAGAAAGTACTGACATCCTCTACCCTCCCTGTACCTCCTCCCACCGCCCCTTCCGTGGCTCCGGAGCAGGAGGGACAGTTGCTGCAATCAGTCACCTGCTGTGACTCATCACCACCCAAACATCTTAGCATTGAAACAAGGAATTCCTCTCCTGTTGTAGGGAGGTGGCTGTACATTTACCTCTGGTCATCTGACCCTACTCTAGGAAAGCAGCGGGAAGCATGACTGAAATCTCATTGGGTAATTAGCATTCTTTACACAGAGCACTTTTTAAATATATTTATTTACTTATTCTTTAGCAGTCTGTGTTTGCAGGATGGAGTGACTGCATTCCCTGTGGGGAACTGGCCCATGCACACCACACATCACTATTCCTTTTCTTCACTCCCTCCCTCTTTGTCTCTTGGTTCCCCTCATCTGAGGAAGACCTATGTCTTATTATTTTTCCCTACTATCTGCCTTTTATTTTGCTCTTTAAAAATAAGTCAAGACACATCAGCTTAGATAGTGTATCTGTAACATGCACTTCTCAAAAAATGCCATATTCCTTTAAAAGCCACGGGATATGTTTTAATGAAAGTTGTTTCCAAAATGGACACTATAGAAAAATAAATAGATTCCAAGTTCCACCAAACTCAAAGCAGCCTTAAGGGCATCTGATACTATAGTAGCTGTTCAGTACATATTTGTGAAATAAATACCCTGGATTTAATACCCTCACTCCATTGATCAATATAAACTTCAGTGTTTAACTTGAACTATTGAAAAGCATAAGATTGCAACAGGAAATAGTGCAATTTTTCTTTTTAAATTTTTACTTATGAAACAGGAAAATACAAATAATTGACTTTTGTAAGAGTAGGCGGCAGTATTTGTGTGTTACAAAGGAGCAGACAATGCAAAAACCAATTGTTACTATATTTAATTCTCCCTATTGTATTTTTAATGAAATTTTCCTTAGCCATCCAAAAACCCGTGGGTTAATAGAAAGGAAACTCTCCATTCTTTATGGGGTATAAAAATGCTGATCATTTTGTTTTCATGCTGTTGGAAACTTATTTTTTCCTATAGAGAGCAAATAACCCCTTCTACTATAGCCATAGTACTTTTTACTTATCTTGACTTTAGCACTAATATTTTATTCAAGTTATTTACAGAGATTTTTGCTGCTAATTCACAAGGACAGGAGATAAGATTTATATTGATTGTATTATCTAGACCTGCCTTATATTTCCTTTATTCATTCAGCAAACACTTATTCTGTATAAGGGCATGAAAAGGCCTCAGCAATAAAATTTCCTGCCTTTCAACCACTTGGATCTGAGGCCAGGACAGAGATGTCTCACGTTTGTTGTGATAAATGTAAACATAAATGTGGGGGGTAACAAGGTGACCCTGAGACATAGAATCAAGAATGACCATATATCTGGACAAGGCAGTGTATGCTTGTAATTCCAGCACTCAGGAGGCTGAAGCAGGAGGATGGTTGAGAGTCTGATACCAGGCTGGGCTACTTAGTGAGTTCAAGGTCAGCCTGAAGCCTTGACCAAGGGGTGGCTAAAGCGGTGGAAATTTATGTCTCTCTGTTCTGCAGAACGGACGTCTGAGATCAAGGTATTGGCAGGTCTGGTTTCTTGTGAGGCCTCACTTCTAGGCTGTCTTCACGTGGTCTTTCCTCTGTGTGTGTCTGTGTCCCCATCTCTCTCTTCCTCTCCTAAAGACACCTATCACACTGGGTTCTTCTTTTCTTGATGACCTTGAAAGCCTCACACACGCCGAGGTGCTGGGCGTGAGGAGGTGAACAGTACGTTTTGAAAGAGACACGGGTCAGCCTATAACATCACATCATGAATTTCAAATCCTGCTTCTTTGCTGGGGATATTTCTAGGGAAATTTCCTGTGCTTAGTACCCTTGCATTTTGACAGGAGACTAGGGGAAGGAAGCTGACTTCTATGTATACATATTTGGCTTTTATAGCACAGGTTTATTTCCTCACAGTTGTGGAGGTTGGAGCCAAAGGTCAAAGCATCAGGTCCAAGATCAAGAAGCAGCACCAAGGTGGCTCCTCCTGAGACCTCCCTCCGAGGCTCCCTTCCCTGGTGTCTTCCCAAGGTCTTTCCTCTGTGTGAACCCAGAAATTACTTTACTTTGCCCTTCGGTCCTCCTCCATTCTAACCCAGAATTCCAGCTCACAGATGTCTTCCAAACTACATAACCCCATCATTTCTTCCATCTTTCCCTATTTTATACACTAGGAAACTTTGCTGGCTACAACTGTGGAGACTGCTGGTTTGGCTGGACAGGCCCCAAGTGTGATCAGAGGAAACCAACTGTTGTCCGGCAGAACATCCATTTCCTGACTCCCCAGGAGAGAGAGCAGTTCCTGGGTGCCTTAGACCTCGCCAAGAGGACCATGCACCCCGACTACGTGATCACCACGCAACACTGGCTGGGCCTGCTCGGGCCCACTGGCACCCAGCCACAGATCGCCAACTGCAGCGTTTATGACTTTTTTGTGTGGCTCCATTATTACTCTGTGAGAGACACATTGCTAGGTGGGTTTTCCCCTTGGCTTAAGGCCTGTTATAATAGGCTTGTGTCTGGCTTGGGGAAGGGGATGGGAAGCCATTTGCAACAGGTTAATTAACAAGAGAGAACCTCAAGGCAGAGTTAGGTTTGTGAATTACCAAATGCTGCCAGAAGTTACAAGGGAGTCTTGTCTCTTCTGGTTTGCTTTTTTGGTTTAACGTCTAAACCGTTTTCCATGAAACTCTTAATCCTCAAAGGCATGAGCTGGTGAAGTGGAGGCAAATTTCTTTTGATTCCAGGAAAATACTTGTGAACCTGGCCACAGCAGCCCTCTCTGACCTCTTCTTACATTAGAAGAATTAGCTGTACTGTGCCAAAGCACATGACCCATCTCTGGGCAGAATTAGAGCGTTCATGTTGCAAGTGTGTGTGCCATAAAACTCACATGTCTTTAGGCCCTTAGCTAAATAATCACTCAGGCATGGTTTGGTTTTTAGAGTTGTATCACTGAGGAGATGCTAAGGTAACCTTAGCTGCATGGAGTTTCTTCTTTTAGACCATGGTTATGTTGGATGCTTGAGAGAATAGCGTGTCTTAGTTATTTTTTCTTGTTGCTGAGACAAAATACCTAACACCCACAGTTAAAGTAGGAAAGGTTTATTTAGCTCAAAGTTTGTAGAAGGTTCAGTCCATCGTCAGCCGGTTCCAAGGCAGATGGCATGGCAGAGGGGCATCACAGAGGAGAAACGGTTCATGGCAAGTAGGAAAGAGTGAAAACCAAATAAACGGCACCAAGCCCTTTTCTATCTTTTGCATCTTAGCCAGGCTACCTGGCCTTCAGGGTGGCAGTGCTTACATTCTTTATCTTGGTGCCTCTAATCTGAACAGTGCACTATGAATCAGTCCCAGCCTCACACACTCTAGGCTCAGCCATCTCTGAAAAAGCCCCACTTATGGACTGCATGAGGCTTTGTGGGACATCTAGACACAAGCCATAACTTAGTGAAATGACCATGATGCCTAAGAACCATGGAGTAGTCTTCCAGGTCCTAACAGTTGCATCTGAGTAGAACTTGGAATGAGAAGTTGTCTGCCATGCACGTCACTAACCAAATAGGTCCATCAGCTGGGGGATGGCATCAGTTTGTTCCAGGAGAGTCTGAAGCCATTCTGGATCCTCCTTATAGCTCACAGCACACTTGGCTCGCCCTGTGGCTTCCCCTTCTTCTGGCTTCCCTTGTTGGGGTGAAGGTGAAGAAGGATTTTGAGCTCCTTTGGAATAGTGAGATTCTCACTTTGTGTTTATCTCTTGTTCCTAGTCCTTCAGTTCCCCTCGTTTTATGGTTTAAAAGCTTAAAACTTTGCTCTGGAGGAAGATTTCTTTTTTTTATTTAAAAGAAAGTCTGCACAGCCAACCGCAGAGACAGCAGCTGAGTCTCAGTGTGAGTCTTTTTAAAACTGCCTGGCAGGTGAGCATCTGTCTTCCTTTATCGATAGATAAGGAGGCTGTCTTGGCTATCAGCCTCGACAGCATCCCTGCCATCGCTCTGAGGAATTTTGGCTTTAAGAGAGGGTAGTCTCCGGGGGAGAAAAAGAAAACTATAGTTTCTGGCCATATCTAGGAATTAAATTTATATTCGTGTCTGTTCAGCTCTCTGACGTTATTATAGGTACTTTGAAAAAGAACTAAAGTTAGCAAAAGTTTCTACATAACGATCAAAAGCTGTAATGAAAGGGGAAGAGATGGAACAGGCAGTAAGGAGGGCATTAAATTGCCCAAAGCATTTCACTAAAATTGCCAGTTCCAGCAGGCAGCCAAATCGGTTTGAATATATTTTTCTCTCTTCTGGTTTCTGTGACCACGCTTGTCAGCCAGTCATTGTAACTGACAGATGAGTGAGCCAAGTGCGTGGAAAGCTCGTTTTGGTTCCATAAACGCGATGTTAGGACTAAGTGCACTTGAAGTTTATATTCTTAATTAAACTTTCCCTTACAAATTTATGCTTTTGTGAGGATAGGTTAAAGAATCTCTCTTAAAAATGTATTTTGTTTTGGTCTTAATGGGCTGCCCTTTTGAATACTTATTCCATCTTAATGAATTGTTCTGAAAAACTAAATATGTAATGAGGGTCTTTGTACAAAAACTGACTTTAGTTTTCTGGCTCAGTGCTAAGCATCAGGCTTTCCAGAGATGAAAGTGATTGTATCTTAAAGGTGCTAGTTGCTTCTGAAATTCTTTCGTCATTATTGTTACTTTTGAAGAAACACATAATGTTTTAAGAAAGGAAAACAAAGCATGGTGGATTTATTGGCTGTATGTGCATACCCCAGATAAGGTGTGACATTTTCAATATTCTGTTCTGTGGTCTGTCACCCGTTGCCCAATTGCTCTAGGACCAGGACGCCCCTACAAAGCCATAGATTTCTCACACCAAGGACCTGCTTTTGTGACCTGGCACAGATACCATTTATTGTGGCTGGAAAGAGACCTCCAGGTTGGTCAAAGAGTACATTTGATATCTTTAATTAAAATATTGCATTAAAATATTGTATTTAATGAGTACTTTACAACACGTTGTTTCGATGGACTTTTCTTGATAGTCGTAGGAGAGTGATAACCACAGTCAAGAAAATGAGCATGCTCAGCATCGTGTGTGGTTACTTTTTTTGTGTGTATTTGCTAAGAGTAAAATCATTCTTTTGATGAGTTACCAGTGTATAATCTAATGCTATGAGCTGTCGTCTTCATGTTGTCTATAACATCTCTGGACTTACTCATGCTACATACCTGCAACTTCATACCTTTTGATCTATATCTCCCCTTCCCACTTTGCCCCTGCTTATACTTTGCTTCTATGCATTTGTTTTTTTAGATTTCACATGGAAGTGACATCATGAAGTATTTTTCTTTCTGTATCTGGCTTATTTCACTTAGCGTAATATCCTTTAGGTTCACCTCTATTGTTGCAGAAATAGTCAGATTTTTTTCTTATTAAGGCTGGACAATATTGCAGTCTATATGAGCTGAAGTTCCATGGGAGTCTTGGATATATATATATATATATATATATATATACATATATATATCTATACATACATATGTATATATCTTTATTCATCCATTGGATTGGTCTGGAACTGAAGCTTGCTATATTTTGATTGGAGCATGTATCAGTCTGTGCCTTATAAGCCTTTTTGTTGCCTACTTGGTGGGCAAATTGGATGACTGGGCCAGTGCTTTACTTTTAGCGCCTCACTGGTAATGAGTCCTTTGCTTTGCCCTACTGGAACTTTGCTACTGGGAGGAATGAGTGTGATGTGTGCACGGATCAGCTTCTCGGGGCAGCCAGACAAGATGACCCAACTCTGATTAGTCAGAACTCAAGATTCTCCAGCTGGGAAATCGTCTGTGACAGGTAATGGCATATGTACCCTGGTGACATTTGTAATTGTCTTCTCTTACATTGGAGAGATGGAAGGGGCACCTTACATTTCTGTTTCAAATGTTCTCTGTACATGTTTCTGGAAACAGTTTTCTTATGGAAGCTGGGATTTTTAAAATTCTAAACTCTTTAATGTAAATAAATAGATATATCAAAGTTACATGCATAGATTGAATAGCTCAGTCACTGTTTTGAGGTGGACTGTTTTAATATTAGTAGTTCCAGCATTTACTGTTTGATAAATGTCAGTCATTTTCTAGGTGATGCAGTACCATTGGGAATGCAAGGATGAATAAATACAGCCTGCTTTTTAAATATCATTCCGCATTTACAATAGATTTTTTTGTAATGTGACGAGTACTGTGAGAGGTATATGTGCAAAGCCCAGGAGAGACAGGGCGAGTCCCTGGGGATGGAGTGAAGGTTCTGAGACTGAAGGAGGTGGAAAGCTCAGCCAGGTTGTGGAGGGAGAGGAGAATGGGATGGGGCAGAAGTGCCCTGGGTAGGGGCAACCTTGTGTGCCAAGCTAGAAGAGACCCGGAAGTGGCCAGGGATGGCTAGACCACAGGACGCTACAGGGTGGTATCAGAGGGCAATGATCGCTGAACCCCTAAAGACCACATGAGCCAGTGAGTGGCCCACAGTCCCAGGAGAATCGGTCCCCAGAGACTCCCAGTATTTGGTTCTCTTTCCAGACACAATGCAATGGTAGCCCTGATCTTTAGAGAGTAAATTCCAAGACTCCCATGGATACGTGAAACTTCAGCTCGTACCAATCCCTGTGTGCACACACTGTGTTTTTCCGCATGCAGACACACCTATAGTAAAGTTCAGCCCATAAACTAGGCCCAGCAGGAGATTAATGGTAGCTGATAGAAACATAGAACAGCTGTAACAATACACCATCATAGAAGCTGTGTGACTGTGAGTTCTCCCTTAAAATGTCTTAATTCCTCAGGGCATGAAGGTGATTATTACTGTTTACTCTTACATTCATATTTCATGCATTTGCAATTTTGAATCTTCTCAATTCATAACTACTTTCAAAGGCAGTGTTTTTATTACCTATTTTTGACTCCGCGTAAACTAACTAATAAAATTTTATCATGACTCTCTATGACCTTGATAGTTGGGTGTGGCCTGAATTTATTGTGCCGTCTACAAGTTAAGACATTATTTTAATCCTTTGTATAAATCTTAGCTTGGATGACTATAATCGCCGAGTCACCTTGTGTAATGGAACCTATGAAGGTTTGCTGAGAAGAAATCGAGTGGGAAGAAACAGTGAAAAGCTGCCAACCTTAAAAAATGTACAAGACTGTCTGTCCCTCCCGAATTTCGACAACCCTCCTTTCTTCTACAACTCTAACTTCAGCTTCAGGTTGGTGCTGAGTCTGAGTTCTTTCACATCAGCTTTAGATTTGCATGCTTGTGGCTGTAAGTGACTGAAAAGAAATCCAGGTGTCAGGAGAAATTTGTAAGCTAAGTCATGGAGAAGGGCTTAATAAAAGAGATTAAGACGGGATTAATGTTAGGAGAGTTATCATCCACCCACTGTGACTAATAATGTAGCTTTATTATCTTTTTCACTTAGCTGTTCAAAATTCCCTTTTGTATTTATAATTTATGTACACATATAGATATAGTCTTTGGAACTGACCTACTTCATTAAACACTTTTTAAAAAGGAGTATTCTAAGTGCTTAGAAATGACTATTCGCCTTATTTTCCTTTCTTATTCTAAAAAGATATTTACAATAGGAATGTATCAGCCACAGAGTTTAATTTTGGGGTCAGAACTCAGAAGTACTGCAGACAAAATTCAGCTGAAATTATAGCATAGCCATGGCATTATAGTGCTCAAGCTTTAATGAGCAACTATAAATTTTCTTCCTCCCAAAAAAGACTTTAAGGATGTGCAGCAGAGCTCAGATACTCTGCTGGTGTTACACATGGCCCTCAAAGCAGTGTCAAAAGTAAGTAAAGGGTAGAACTTTAGATTGTTTTTAAAAGGATAAGAATTAGTTTTCCTTTATGATAAAAAATGCTATTTAAACAGATTGGATTTCCTGTAGATTTGAGCTAGGGAAGTGGTCCTTAAAATGTAATGCTCAGGCAACCGTCACTGATATCAGCTGGGAACTGGTTACCAGATTGTTAGGACCTGTCCTTCAACCACTTTAGGAGTTGGGCCTGGGCTATGTGTTTTTCTCCAGGGATTTACAAGGTGTGTTTAGATTTGAGGATCCCTGAGTTAGGGTGCAGCCTACTAGAATTTCTCAAAAGTGGGAAGAGGAAACAGACAAGGAGAAGGGGAATGGTTGGATGTGTTTGTAATTCTAAATATCTTACAACCAAGCTGAAGGTCACCTTAGTTGATAAGTAAGAAGATACAATTATAAATTAATTTAGAAAACATTTATTGATCATAGACCATGGCTGGGTAGGATGTTGAGTCCTGGCAATAAATATGTGGAAGAAAACAGACACTCAAGGACTCAGAGACAAGTAGGGAGGTAAACAATTGTCACATAGTAACCAAAGCAGGTAACATTTCCCTGGACATGTGCAGAAGTAAAATCAAGTAAGAGATTAAAGATTCCCTCTCCCTTAGATGACAGCTGAAAGTAGAGGCTAATTCTTCATTCATTAACTCTGACATTCTTCTCACTTCCTTACCCAAACTCAGGTGGAAGATGACTTTCTAGGCTGGAAAGAGGAAGTGGAGATCTTTCTCCTCCTTTGGGTTTTGTCACTGACACTCTGGTTTCTCTTAGGAACGCTTTGGAAGGGTTTGAGAAGGCGGATGGGACACTGAATTCGCAAGTGGCAAGCCTGCATAACTTGGTGCATTCCTTCCTGAATGGAACCAGCTCTTTGCCGCATTCAGCGGCCAACGATCCTGTTTTTGTGGTATGTTCAGAAATTCACAGCAGGTGAAAAAGTTTCTAGCTGATGTGTGGAATTTATTCATTGTTCATTAAGATTAAAGTTTGATGTTTCATCTTCTGTGCAAACAATATGATGTGTGCACATACAAATTAATTTAAAGTCACACCATGGTGACAGCCAGATAGCATTTGAAGCCTTTAGTTAGAAATCTATGCTTCAGGGATGATTGGTTTTTGGATGATCTTAGACAGGAGTGTACAATCGAGAGGTGAGTTTATAAATTAGCATAAAGATACCACTATTTAGCAAAATTATGTCACATATTAGTATAAGTATATATGATTTTTTTTCATTGCTGAAATGAGCGGATCATGTTCTATGAGTTGTCTACAGGAAAGAAAGGTCCTGGTAGCCAGAAGACAGAGGGAGAAAGGCTGCTGGACAGATAAAAATGACAAATGCCTTCAACAATGGCAGTAATATAAAAACTCACACTTTGTTAACCAGCTTAACGCTCGGAGATGTGGGGTGACTGATAGTGTTCCCTCCGTTAACCATGGAGGGCCTCAGGGTCCTTTAACTTTGCAAGTGTGATGAACTCCTTGGATGTATTTAAGTCCCATTTTTCTGTCTTCCTGTAAAACCAAAGCAAATGACTGACAAAATCCTGTATTGTAAATTTTAGAATCTCAAAATTGGTAAGTTTTTAGAATATGATCATTAAGGGGTTTTCGTGAGACAAACAAAATAAAGGCCTGCTAATCAGGGCCCCATTATTTCGCGGCTCTTGGTCAGTGCCCTCTAGGCCAAGGCTCCTGGGAGCACAGTGGGCAGCAGTGCCCCCTTACCCATGGCTTAGTCACCCACATCTGAAGGAAGAATTTGACTATGATGCAAGGTTTTGAGAGAGAATGGCCACCTTTAAACACATTTTATTATAGATGAAATGTAATCAAAATGTACAGTGCGTGCTTAAATTTTAAAAATGATTACAGAAGACATATTGCTATTAATTCACTTCAGAATACTCTTCACTTTGAAAATGCTTACCCTGTTCTTGCCACTTCCTGACGAGATCAGGTGGGTTCAGGGTTGTCACACTGTAGACTCTTGCCGCTTTCTGAAGCAGTTCGGAGGTCCTCTTTGTGAGTGTCTTATGAGGTGTGAAAAACTTACAGTGAACTCTGCTGCTGAGTGTCATCCGACATGGCAGGCTTGTAAAAACCCCTCTACCTTATTCCCCAGATCCGGCACTGTGCAATGTCTGGCTTTTCCCTCAAGTCAAAATGACCACGAAAGGTTAATGTTTTGAACTGATTTTGTTGCAACAGTGCAACTAAAAACCCTCAGGAAAGAGAACTTTCATTTCAGAAAGTGGAAGAAGGATGGGAAAAGTGTGTTAGAAATGAGGGAGCATATTTTGAGGGGGGTTAATGGCACTATGTCTTTCATGTAATTAAAAAAAAAGTAAACATTCACCATAGTTTTTGATCACCCCTATATGTTGTTATAATTATTCTATTAGATTCTTAGTTTATAGACTCTTATTGTGGGCATAATTCATATGTTTCACTTTGTCAGAGGTATGCGTGCATAGGAAAGAGCATAGCATGTACTAGGTTCAGGTTCAGTAGCAGTGCTTCCAGTGGAGATGGAACCTTTGGCATGTGTGGGGCGTCTGCCTCCCATTAGTGTGGCTGGAGCAGTAAGGTTCATTATGCCTTCGGGGAGAGGATAGAGGGTGGTGGAGAGGGTCAGCCCGTGGGTGTTAGCAGAGACTAATAGCATTTTGGCTTGTGCTTGGCAATGCGGGGGAATATTCATGGGACTTCTGCTGTGGATCAGATGCTGTCGTGAAGCAGGGGTACTTCCATGATTGGTTCTTTGCTAGTCCTGTCAGGGAGAGCAAACCAGACTGAGGTTATTGGTGAAGAAACATCAGTGGTTCATCCTAGCTGCGTAAGAGCAGGGTACTTTGTGGCTTGGACAGTACTTACATTTAGTCTGTGCTCAGATGTGATAGAGGGGTGGTGTTTTTGTCCTGATTCCTGGTCACGGATTGTGATGTTCATGCTCTGTGGAGAAACTGAGGTCTGATATGAGGATATCGAGGCTTGTTTAAGGGTACCAGGCTAGCTGCTGAATGCCAGGGACTGCTTTCTCTTTCAGCTCATCAGAGTTGGCTTAGGCGGTTTGCACAATACAAGCATTTGTGTTTCAGCCACTGAAGCCCAATGATGGCTCTGCTTTGCAGAGTTTTAACTCATCATAATCTATTTTAGCACTGTCTTGTCTTCAGTTATATGTCTTAGATGTTTTGGGAGCAATTGTGAGAAGAAACTTCATCTCTTTTTCTTTGTAGTATCTTGAGTTTAGATAGTACAGTAGCCAAGACACTATTTTTTTTTTATTCTTCCAGAAGTTTCCTTACCTCAGTGTAAATCTTAGCAATGTGCCAAGTCTACTCTGGCTGCCATAATAAAATACCCTAGGCTGGACAACTTCCATAGCAGACATGTGCACCTGCCAAGACCAAGGTGCTGGTGAAAACTCTCTTCTTTAGCCTTCTGGCTATGATCTCATATGGTACAGAAAGCATGAGCTCTCTAGTGATTCTTTTTTTAAAAATTTTTTATTTTAAAGAACAAGACAGAACAAAGCCAATCGAGACAATGCAGTGAAATTGGTACAGAACTTCACAGCAGGCTACTGGGCTAACTGTAACAGGTACCGTAGTATATCTCGTTATCTTCACAATAGTCCAGCCAATTAGGTATAGCGTAATCAAACCAAAAGCAGAACATTATAAAGTCATTTGAAAGAGAATATTGAATAGAGCAAAACACTTAATCATAACAAAACAAAACAGTGAAAACATTTGCATTCAAACAGAAGATAGAAGAAAATCCCTCCTATTTGCTATATTGCATACCATCATCCTCACAAGAGATGCCCAGACCTCTACTCCCCGTTACTAACTGGGGTGGGGGGAATGGAATGCTAAATTCTCAGCCCATGTGCTGGTAGGCTCATGGGAGCTGCTGACTGGTTCTCCTACTGGCTTGTGCCTGGGTGCTTACCAAGAGGGTGGGTGAATTGCTTTCTGGTTTAGATGCCAAGTTCCACCATGGCTGGATCTCAGGAGCCACTGACTGGTTCCGATGACTCTTCTTATAAGATCTCAGGAGCCACTGACTGATTCCCATGACTCTTCTTATAAGGGCACTAATCCTATCACATCAGGGCCTCATTTTTTTTGATCTCATTAAACCTTGGATACCACCTTATAAGCCTCATCTTCAATGTGGATGTCTTTAGCATGAGGACTTCAACATATGAATTTGGGAGGAACTATACAGCCCATAGCAAAATATATTCTCAAATCATCAGTTTGTTTATTTGGACTCCTGGGAGACTGAATGATATAGTAAAACAACACTGGATTATAAGTCAAATGAATTTTGTTTATTTCGTCCTTGTGCAATTTTGGCAAAGTCATTCAATGATATGGGAACTCTATTTCCTACTCTACAGTATTGGTCACATGACTTGACCTTAGAGAGGGAAAAGTTATGCTTACTCAAGTGACTCAGTAAATTAGGATAAAATGATGACACTCTGGAGACGTTCAAGGCAATACAAATGTTACCACAAAAATAATGTGTTTTATGGAAGTTGGTGGGAAAGAATTAGACATCTATGTGTTGGGTTAGAATTTCCAGTCCTTAATTAAGGTTCTTTATCTTATTCTCCAAAGCAGACAGTTGTACCCCAAGGCAATTGACTGACAAGCACAAAGTCTTTTAAAGGTGATTTATTATTTTTAGTGGATCCAGGTACAGAAAAGGAATTATGAAGAGGGAGAGTGAAGGTACAGTTTCTGATGACTTTAAGTTTGCCTGGTGGCATGACGGATGGAGTTTCCTAGGTCTAAGTAGCTTTCTGGGGTTCCCACATTGATTAAAGTATGGTAAAGATGAGCTTCAGGAAACCCTGAGTTGGAAGCAGTTGGTAGAGCTGTTTCTTCTTTCTAAAAAACATTTCTCCCCTAAGACTTGTGAAGTAGCAATAAATGAAAGAGTTGTCACAAGTGTGAATTAATGATCCCGATCTCTGACCAGGTGAGGGCTCATCTGTGAGGTGTCCACAGCTATCTCTGCCCTCCCTGGGGCCTGTGCTTTGATTTGATACTTAGATCATTTTCCTGGCTACTCTCTCACCCTCAGCTTCCACCAAGCTGCCTTCTCTATTTACCATGAAATAAGTTTTTTTTTAATTAAAACATATAATTTGTTAAAACATAAAACTATAATTTGTCTACATATGATTAAGCAAAATATCCTATTCATAACAAAATATCACAGTACTGGGTAGTATTCTAAAATGTTATAAGGAAAACCATGGAAGATACCCCATACCTTTCTCTCATCCTAAAGGGAATAATGGTGATGTGAGGAATCTGATTTTCAGCTTTCCAAGTCTCCAGGGTTGCTGTCTCCTTTGAGGAACCCTTAATTGCACTGAGTTTGGACACGTTTCCCTAAGTGGCCAGTGAGTAAATGTTCGTGGTTTTCAAGGCCAGATGTTCTCTGTTGCAACTACTCAACTCTGTCACTATAGTGTGAAAGTGGCCACAACCAGGCATAAGCAAATGAATGTGGTGTTCCAATAAATATTTACTTAGGCAACTGGTAGACCCAAGTGATGTTTTTCTGTGTACAGCTTATTTCACTTAATGTCCTCAGGCTTTAGCTTACCAATTCCTCCTCTAATGGCTCATTGCTCATTCTGTGCAGTGGGGATATTTCTTTAGTCATGTTTTATCTTCCTACTTTAGGTGAAAACCTACGGTATAACTCTATGGATAAAGAATCCCATGACTTACATGTAATTCAGAGATACTAAATGTTTAACCATTTATATCTTATTTACATTTAATATCTTTGATGTTTAAAATTTATTTTTCTTTGGTAATATGTTATCATATACACGTAAAAAAAAAAAAAAAAAACCCAAAAGTC